GATAGATAGATAGATAGATAGATAGATAGATAGATAGATAGATAGATAGATAGATAGATAGATAGATAGATAGATAGATAGATAGATAGATAGATAGATAGATAGATAGATAGATAGATAGATAGATAGATAGATAGATAGATAGATAGATAGATAGATAGATAGATAGATAGAAGATAGATAGATAGATAGATAGATAGATAGATAGATAGATAGATAGATAGATAGATAGATAGATGATAGATAGATAGATAGATAGATAGATAGATAGATAGATAGTAGATAGATAGATAGATAGATAGATAGATAGATAGTAGATAGATAGATAGATAGATAGATAGATAGATAGATAGATAGATAGATAGATAGATAGATAGATAGATAGAATAGATAGATAGATAGATAGATAGATAGATAGATAGATAGATAGATAGATAGATAGATAGATAGATAGATAGATAGATAGATAGATAGATAGATAGATAGATAGTAGATAGATAGATAGATAGATAGATAGATAGATAGATAGATAGATAGAGAGATGGATAGGTAGATATATAATTCTACAAAAGATTTACAAAACACTTTTCCTAAGGGCCAGTTATAGAACTAGTTATTTAATCAATAAATCTGCCTTAAATAGTCAAGGGCTTTATAATCAAAATTATTCCAGTATAACAGTTATTTTTCTTGTCGTAAAAAGTAATTCAATAAAAACGCTCTAACATATCTTTTTACTCCCGGAATAATATTTCAATTCGACTTCTTTAGCAATCTTTAAATCTAAATTAAAATTAGCTTGGGTTATAATTTAACATACAGACAAATTATACGATATGAATGTTAAATTTTTTGATAAAATAACTTTCTTCTTTTTGAATTTCTTAACAGAATTAAAAAAAACAAACCTCGACCTTAATATCTCATATGATAAATAAACAGCAAAGCTTCTGTTTTAACATAAATTTTAAATAAAAAGCAAAATTGGCATGAATATCATAACAATTTTTTTTATAAAATATTTTTCGACAGCAAACTTATGCGTTGACCTAACACAATAATATACTTTTACTTATGCTAGATATTCTAAAAAAAAGTTTACGATTTCACAAAACATATTTAATACCAACAACTTTTTTTCAAAACATGCACTGCATATTGAATGTAGATAACATTATTGACAACACTTGCCAAAATAATATGTACTACATAAAGAGAAAAAAGTTTTTTTGTTTTCTTTTTTTCAATTAGAAATGTAAACATGCTAGAGATTAATTGAAAGAAGTGTGTTAACATTTTATGGTGAATAGAAAAAAAAAGTAAGTTTAAATAATGATTTAAATAGAAAAAGTTAGGGTGATTTTTGAAATAGATCTTAGAAATGTCTCACAATGGGTTAACCTTATTAAAATTCTTTAACAAATCCAAGTAAATACTTTCAAAATGTTTAAGCTTAAAGTGAAATGTACAAAGACTGGCGAATACATAAATATTCGTCGAATATAATATGTTAACTACAAAAGTACACACAAATAAAAGTTGAAAACATAATTGAAAATAATTTAATTATATTAATATAGAAATTTGCTATTTTTCTTACTTGGACTAAAGCAGCAAGTAAACCATGTATAAAAGTGCAAAAAATGTAATATCTAAGTCTCTAAAGTTCATAATTTTCTAATTTATATTCATAAAATAATTTATTATTAAATGAATTTGCATCAAAAACGCCTAAAAGTCTAGTTAATATTTGAGCAAAACAAAAATAAAGACAAAATTAAGTGCTAGGTCCCTTCTAAACATAACCATCCCTTTCTCGTAATATATTTAGGAGTGTTTGCTGTTTTAACACGCAAACTTTTAAGGAAATCACTTAATGACCTAAAATAAAAGAGCAAAAAACTCAATATATACAAAAACTGCTTGATTTTTACCATGTTACAAATCAAAATTTTCTACTAAAAAAAAAACAAACAAACATGCCTGCTACCAAAAAAAAAAGAGTAAAAAAGTACTATATAAAAAATTAAATAGGTTACCAGCTAAACTAAACTGAACAGAACTTAAAAATGGCAATAGTGGAACAACAATATCTAATGAATATTATATACCTGTAAGCTATATACTAGGCAAGCAGGGAAACTAAGCAATTTGTTAGATTCATTTTTTATACAGAAAAAAAGTTTGTTTGTTTTTTTAAGTGGGGTTCCTATGAAAACCCTAAAGGTAAGTAGCAAACAGAAAAATTTGTATCACCATGTTTTTCATCATCATCATGACGATGATCTAGGCAGGTGCGGTTTGTTTAGCCAAATAAAGTGTGAAAAAAGGAAAATGTTTTATAAAAAAATGTAGACCGTAAAATAATATATTATATGTAAGAATATGTATATGAAAAAGGCATATGTGCCATGAGACAATTTTTATTATAGACTTAATTATTTAGGTGGTGGTGGTGTTGGTGATGTGTAATAACCTTAGGAGCAAAAAGTTAATGATGAGATGGGCTTGGCTAGAAAATTGTTGATTAAAAGTTGTCTTTCTTTTAGTATAATTATTTTTTAAAAGCGGAGGTATTTGGGAATTTATAATTGTTGGAAAAATTATAAAAAAAAATTCTGAACATATTTCAAAATACGACATTCAACTATCTATATATTTATCTATCTATCTATCTATCTATCTATCTATCTATCTATCTATCTATCTATCTATCTATCTATCTATCTATCTATCTATCTATCTATCTATCTATCTATCTATCTATCTATCTATCTATCTATCTATCTATCTATCTTATCTATCTATCTATCTATCTATCTATCTATCTATCTATCTATCTATCTATCTATCTATCTATCTATCTATCTATCTATCTATCTATCTATCTATCTATCTATCTATCTATCTATCTATCTATATATCTATCTATCTACATCTATCTATCTATCTATCTATCTATCTATCTATCTATCTATCTATCTATATCTATCTATCTATCTATCTAGATAGATATAGATATTCTGAACATATAGATTCTGAACTATTTCAAAATACGACATTCAACTATCTATATATTTATCTATCTATCTATCTATCTATCTATCTATCTATCTATCTATCTATCTATCTATCTATCTATCTATCTATCTATCTATCTATCTATCTATCTATCTATCTATCTATCTATCTATCTATCTATCTATCTATCTATCTATCTATCTATCTATCTATCTATCTATCTATCTCTATCTATCTATCTATCTATCTATCTATCTATCTATCTATCTATCTATCTATCTACTATCTATCTATCTATCTATCTATCTATCTATCTATCTATCTATCTATCTATCTATCTATCTATCTATCTATCTATCTATCTATCTATCTATCTATCTATCTATCTATCTATCTATCTATCTATCTATCTATCTATCTATCTATCTATCTATCTATCTATCTATCTATCTATCTATCTATCTATCTATCTATCTATCTATCTATCTATCTATCTATCTATCTATCTATCTATCTATCTATCTATCTATCTATCTATCTATCTATCTATCTATCTATCTATCTATCTATCTATCTATCTATCTATCTATCTATCTATCTATCTATCTATCTATCTATCTATCTATCTATCTATCTATCTATCTATCTATCTATCTATCTATCTATCTATCTATCTATCTATCTATCTATCTATCTATCTATCTATCTATCTATCTATCTATCTATCTATCTATCTATCTATCTATCTATCTATCTATCTATCTATCTATCTATCTATCTATCTATCTATCTATCTATCTATCTATCTATCTATCTATCTATCTATCTATCTATCTATCTATCTATCTATCTTATCTATCTATCTATCTATCTATCTATCTATCTATCTATCTATCTATCTATCTATCATCTACTATCGATCTATCTATCTATCTATCTATCTATCTAATCTATCTATCATCTATCTACCTACTATCTATCTATCTATCTATCTATCTATCTATCTATCTATCTATCTATCTATCTATCTATCTATCTATCTATCTATCTATCTATCTATCTATCTATCTATCTATCTATCTATCTGTATTCCTGTTTAATGTTTCTTTTAAAAAGTTAGCACTAAAAGGGTCAAAGTTTTAATATAACGTTTATTTATTTTTTTAAGAATTTTTTTTCTTTAATTTAAAACCATGTCATTAGTTGTATTTCTTTTTGGTTTCAACATTTGTGCTATTTTCAACAAATATTCTTAATTATCTTTAATTTTGTTTATATTTCAAACCCGTTTTAAACTACTGAAAAAAAACAGCAGCAAAAAATGTACAAAAAAGTATAGTATTGTTAATACCATTGTTTTTAAAGCTTATAAAATTTTCACAATAAATTTACTTTCAAAACCAGTTCTATTTTCATTGTTTCTGTTTTCTTCCCCAATTATACTTTTGAATTATTAATATTTATATTTTAACAAATATTATTATATTTATACATATCATCTTAAATTTTAGTAAAAACAGAAACTTTAATAAACTAACATTTTTGCATATTTATTTAAATTTTTATTTTAAAATTAATTACAAAGTACTTTCTTTTTATATGTGTGTATGTTGTTTGGTAATTAGCAAATAAAATGTTAGTTTTTTGCCAAATTATTATCATCTTTACTTTTTTTTTTTCTTTATTATTACTTGGTTTTTATAAAAATTTCAATTAAGGTGTTGCACATGCTCGTGTTTTAAAGTAATTCAACATTTACTAATTGTAAACCACTATTTTTTATTATTTTAATTATTTTTTTTTTTTTTTTGTTATTACTGGTATAAAATTTACAGTGGATTATTAAACTTTTGCATAACACCAACGAACACATTAAGAAAAGGGAAAATATTTACATAATTATAAAAAACTAAAATTTTTAAAACAAAAAATTGAAGTTTCTAAATAAACCAATAATCTTTCATTGCTTCTTCTTTTAGAATGGAGGTTCAAACTGTTAATAATCATTTAAACAATGCTCTGATATCACCGTTATCTGCCACCTCAAATTCTCAAACACTCAACAATAAAACATCAGCAAACACAAACACTTCAGCGTCAGCAACGTCGCCGCCGCCACCACAATTAGCTCACTTACAGCAGGCCGCCTCCATACAATTAAACGAAAGTCTAACAGCCCAATTAAGTCGCAGCAACAGTCCGGCCAGTTCAAATTCCGAAATAGAAAAAGAATTACAAGAATTGGATTTGAATAGTTCCATGAATAGTGGCAGTATTAGTTTAGGTGCCGAATTAAATTGTAAATCGAATGGTTCATTAAGTGGTGCCTCTTCAACATCCACCCAAGGCCTTACATCGTCAACAAATGTCGCTAAAGAGAGCAATAGTGGAGCGGCATCTTTAACCAATGGCAGCCAATCGGCAAATGGTTTAAATAATAGTGCCACTATTGGCGGAGCTGCGGCGAATATAAAGAAAAGAATTTCCTCAAGTCGAACACCGACACGAAAGGCGAGACGAATAAAATTTTATCGCAATGGTGATCGTTTTTATCCAGGCATAACCATTCCAGTTTCAAATGAACGTTATAGGTAGGAATTGTTTATTAGTTGAGGGAAATATTTTCTTTAACTAATTTGTTTATTTTATTTTTTTTGTTTTTATAGATCATTTGAAAGCTTATTTGAAGATCTTACTAGACTTTTAGAAGAAAATGTTAAAATTCCAGGTGCTGTACGCACCATTTATACCATGTGTGGCAAGAAGGTATGTTAGTAAATAATTTGAATTGTTTTCATTGTAAAATTTTGGTTATTTTTCAGTCTTTCAATAGTCTAGTCTATAGTCCAGTCTATAGTTTAGTCTATAGTCTAGTCTATAGTCCAGTCTATAGTCCAGTCTATAGACCCGACTATAGTCCAGTCTATAGTTTAGTCTATAGTCCAGTCTATTTAGCCTAGTCTATAGTTAAGTCTATAGTCTAGTCTATAGTCCAGTCTATAGTCCAGTCTATAGTCCAATCTATAGTTTAGTCTATAGTCCAGTCTATAGTCCAGTCTATAGTCCAGTCTCAAGTGCAGTCTATAATCCAGTCTATAGTTTAGTCTATATTCCAGTCTGTAGCCTCTTTTATATTCAAGTCTAGTCTAGACTATATAGTAAACTAATGATTATATTGTGGACTAGACTATAGTCTAGTCAACAATCTAGCCCATAGTATACTATATAGTCTGAATTACAGTCTAATCTATAGTCAAGTTTATGGTCTAGTCTATAGTCTATTCTATAGTCTAGTCTACAATCTAATTTAACCTATAGTCCAGCTTATAGTCTTATATTTTATCTAACGAAAAGGATTTTTAAAATCTCCCTCCCTCTCAATTTAGATAACAACTTTGGAAGAGCTGGAAGATGGTCAGAGTTACGTGTGTTCCTGTAATAATGAAAATTTCAAAAAAGTCGAATATAATACGACCTCACAACCCCTCACTAATCTATCGATATCGAACAAGACCTCAAATCGTCTATCGAAATACTATCGTCCCTCATCGCCTTTAAAGAATGGTTCTACCAATAATCCCAATGTTGGCAATGGTGCATCGTCAAATGCTGTCATAACTGGCAACACCAATGGCAGTCCCGTATTGGTGAAATTAAGTGAACGTGATAGTGTTGTTCATCCACGCATTGTAACACTCATACGCAATGGCACGAAACCTCGTAAACTTATGCGCCTGCTGCTAAATAAACGCAACAGTCCCAGTTTTGATCATGTCTTAACAGCCATCACACAAAAGGTTAAACTGGATACGGGTTATGTACGCAAAGTTTTCACCTTGTCGGGAACACCAGTAACACAATTGGCTGACTTTTTTGGTCCAGACGATGTTTTCTTTGCCTATGGCACTGAGCGCGTCAATAATCCAGATGATTTTCGCTTGGAAACCGATGAACAGAAATCTTTACAGAATATACGTAAAAATTTACGTACAGCTGGTACTACTTGCAAGGGTCCTAAACCAAAAATGCCTGTTAAGAGTAAGAAAACCTATGACACTTCAGCTATCGATGAAGAGAAACTACTCAATGACAGTGGCATTGATGCCAACGAACTACCAGCCGTTATACGAGAACGTTATGTTTTAGGACAGATTATAGGCGATGGCAATTTTGCCATTGTACTCAAGTGCAAAGATCGCCAGAATGGTTTACCTTATGCTTTGAAGATCATTGATAAGAGTAAGTGCAAGGGCAAAGAACATTATATCGATGATGAGGTGCGTGTTATGAAGAAATTGTCACATCCACATATTATTTCGTTAATAATGGATGTTGATCAACAGGCGAATATGTATTTGGTGCTGGAATATGTTAGTGGTGAGTATTGGCGTTGAATATTTTTCAATTCATAATAATTATCAATTTGTTTTTTTAATTCTTGTCGTTTAGGTGGTGATTTATTTGATGCTATTACACGTGTTACACGTTTCTCCGAGGATCAATCGCGTGTTATGATTAAACATTTAGCCTCAGCTATGGCTTATTTACATTCCATGAGTATTGTACATCGTGACATTAAACCAGAAAATTTATTGGTAAGTATTATTTGAAAATTTAACAAGAAAATATGCTTTTGTACGGAAGTCTCAAAATTTAAGTCAAATTTTATTTCGTAGGGTGAATTAGCGTTTGTTTTTATGTAGATTATTTTGAACTTTTCTTTTTATTTCTTTTTTTTATAAAACAGGTTGAATTAGATGACAAGGGAAATGTCATTGAACTGAAATTGGCCGACTTTGGTTTGGCTTGCGAGGTTAATGAGCCACTATTTGCTGTCTGCGGTACACCAACATATGTGGCTCCCGAAATTTTGATGGAAACTGGTTACGGTTTAAAGGTATGTTTATAAAATTAATATGATTAATCTACTGTCTAAGCTATAGTACAGTCTACAATCTAGTTTATAGTCTAGTCTAGTCTATATTCTAGTATATATTCTAGTCTATAGTCTAGTCTATAGTCTAGTCTATAGTCTAGTCTATAGTCTAGTCTATAGTCTAGTCTATAGTCTAGTCTATAGTCTAGTCTATAGTCTAGTCTATAGTCTAGTCTATAGTCTAGTCTATAGTCTAGTCTATAGTCTAGTCTATAGTCTAGTCTATAGTCTAGTCTATAGTCTAGTCTATAGTCTAGTCTATAGTCTAGTCTATAGTCTAGTCTATAGTCTAGTTTATAGTCTAGTCTATAGTCTAGTCTATAGTCTAGTCTGTAGTCTAGTCTATAGTCTAGTCTATAGTCTAGTCTATAGTCTAGTCTATAGTCTAGTCTATAGTCTAGTCTATAGTCTAGTCTATAGTCTAGTCTACAGTCTAGTCTATAGTCCTAGTCTATAGTCTAGTCTATAGTCCAGTCTATAGTTAAGACTATAGTCTAGTCTATAGTCTAGTCTAGTTTACAGTGTAGTCTATAGTCTAGTCTATAGTTTAGTCTATAGTCTAGTCTATAGTCTAGTCTATAGTCTAGTCTATAGTCTAATCTATAGTCTAGTCTATAGTCTAGTCTTTAGTCTAGTCCTATAGTCTAGTCTATAGTCTAGTCTATAGTCTAGTCTATAGTCTAGTCTATAGTCTAGTCTATAGTCTAGTCTATAGTCTAGTCTATAGTCTAGTCTATAGTCTAGTCTATAGTCTAGTCTATAGTCTAGTCTATAGTCTAGTCTATAGTCTAGTCTATAGTCTAGTCTATAGTCTAGTCTATAGTCTAGTCTAGTCTAGTCTAGTCTATAGTCTAGTCTATAGTCTAGTCTATAGTCTCTAGTCATAGTCTAGTCTATAGTCTAGTCTATAGTCTAGTCTATAGTCTAGTCTATAGTCTAGTCTATAGTAGTCTATAGTCTAAAGTCTAGTCTATAGTCTAGTCTATAGTCTAGTATATAGTCTAGTCTAAAGTCTAGTCTATAGTCTAGTCTATAGTCTAGTATATAGTCTAGTCTATAGTCTAGTCTATAGTCTAGTCTATAGTCTAGTCTATAGTCTACAGTCTAGCCTATAGTCTAGTCTATAGTCTAATCTATAGTCTAATCTATAGTCTAGTCTATAGTCTAGTCTATAGTCTAGTCGATAGTCTAGTTATAGTCTAGTCGATAGTCTAGTTTATAGTCTAGTTTATAGTCTAGTTATAGTCTAGTTTATAGTCTAGTTTATAGTCTAGTCTATAGTCTAGTCTAGTCTATAATATAGTCTAGTCTAGTCTATAATCTAGTCTATAGTCTAGTCTATAGTCTAGTCTATAGTCTAGTCTATAGTCTAGTCTATAGTCTAGTCTATAGTCTAGTCTATAGTCTAGTCTATAGTCCTAGTCTATAGCCTAGTCATAGTCTAGTCTATAGTCTAGTCATAGCCTAGTCTATAGTCTAGTCTATAGTTTAGTCTATAGTCTAGTCTATAGCCTAGTCTATAGTCTAGTCTATAGTTTAGTCTATAGTCTAGTCTATAGCCTAGTCTATAGTGTAGTCTATAGTGTAGTCTAGTGTAGTCTATAGTCTAGTCTATAGTTAGTCTATAGTCTGTCTATAATCTAGTCTATAGTCTAGTCTATAGTCTAGTCTATAGTCTAGCTATAGTCTAGTCTATAGTCTAGTCTATAGCCTAGTCTATAGTCTAGTCTATAGTCTAGTCTATAGCCTAGTCTATAGTTTAGTCTATAGTTAGTCTATAGTCTAGTATATAGCCTAGTCTATAGTCTAGTATACTAGTTTAGTCTAGTATAGTCTATAGTCTAGTCTATAGTCTAGTCTATAGTCTAGTTCTATAGTCTAGTCTATAGTCTAGTCTATAGTCTAGTCTATAGTCTAGTCTATAGTCTAGTCTATAGTCTAGTCTATAGTCTAGTCCTATAGTCTAGTCTATAGTCTAGTCTATAGTCTAGTCTATAGTCTAGTCTATAGTCTAGTCTATAGTCTAGTCTATAGTCTCGGTCTATAGTCTAGTCTATAGTCTAGTCTATAGTCTAGTCTATAGTCTCGTCTATAGTCTAGTCTATAGTCTAGTCTATAGTCTAGTCTATAGTCTAGTCGATAGTCTAGTCTATAGTATAGTCTATAGTCTAGTCTATAGTCTAGTCTATAGTCTAGTCTATAGTCTAGTCTATAGTCTAGTCTATAGTCTAGTCTATAGTCTAGTCTATAGTCTAGTGTCTATAGTATAGTCTATAGTCTAGTCTATAGTCTAGTCTATAGTCTAGTCTATAGTCTAGTCTATAGTCTAGTCTATAGTCTAGTCTATAGTCTAGTCTATAGTCTAGGCTCTAGTCTAGTCTATAGTCTAGTCTATAGTCTAGTCTATAGTCTAGTCTATAGTCTAGTCTATAGTCTAGTCTATAGTCTAGTCTATAGTCTAGTCTATAGTCTAGTCTATAGTCTAGTCTATAGTCTAGTCTATAGTCTAGTCTATAGTCTAGTCTATAGTCTAGTCTATAGTCTAGTCTATAGTCTAGTCTATAGTCTAGTCTATAGTTTAGTCTATAGTCTAGTTTACAGTGTAGTCTATAGTTTAGTCTATAGTCTAGTCTACAGTCTCGTCTGTAATCGAGTCTGCAGTCTAGCCTTTAGTGCTTTCTATAGTATAATCTATGTTCTGGTCTATAGATTAGGCTATAGTCTAATCTATAATCTATTCTTAAGTATTTGCTATAGTCTAATATATTCAACTGTTTATAATTTGAACCCCTCTCTCTATTCGTATCATTTCTCCAACTAGATTGATGTCTGGGCAGCCGGTATTATATTATACATATTACTTTGTGGTTTCCCACCCTTTGTTTCGCCCGACAATCAGCAGGAACCTTTATTCGATGCCATAATCTCGGGTATCTACGAATTTCCCGATCCCTATTGGTCGGGCATTGGTAATGGTGTGCGTGATCTCATTGCCAATATGTTACAATCCGATCCAGATGTACGTTTCACCAGCGAAGATATACTCGACCATTATTGGACTATGGGCAATGATGACATCAACGAATACAGCAGCTGAATGGTGGAACAAATCGAACGCATTTTTCAATTTATACATTAGTGATGTATCTTGGCTACACACATTATTACACGTTTTGTATTATGGCTGGCTGGCTGGTTGGTTGGTTGGTTGAAAGCTGCTGTGCTTTTGCTGCTGTCAGTTTTATGTCTTTGTTTTTTTTTTTCCTCCCCTTTTTTGATTTTATAAAGAACGGACCTGTGTAGTATTCTTATTTAGAAATTGTTTGAATAATGATTATATTTCGATTGTTTTATTTTATAATTTGTAATTTATTAAAAATATCTCATAAAAAAAAATCAACCAAAAATTCAAAAAAAAAGATAATGCGACAACTTACAAATACATATATTTTAATTTGTAAAATTGTCAAGAGAAAAAAAAAACAAATTACAAAACTTTAAACTTATAGTTTCTTATTATTAATATTTCTATAATTATCTTATACATATATAACATATATTTAAGTATTTAATTTTTACTTTTTTTTATAAAAAAAATCAAAAAAAAAAAAAAAAAACTATAAAAAATAACTTTTATTTTTTTAACTTTTACCTAAAGGTTTTAATTATTATTTTAAAATTATTTAATTTAAAACAGTTTTTTTTTTATTTATAAACTTTTCAAAACACAATCTTTATAACAATAATTTATAAAATTTCTTAAAACAATTTGTGCATTTATTGTACGCATTCCAAACGAAATCGAATCCTGAAATATGAAAATGCCTTTAAAAGCCTTTTTTCACAACAGCTTTTCTTTATTTAAACGAAAAGAGAGTAATAAGTATTAAGGATTGTGTTAAAGATTTAAAAATACTATCCCCTTAAATAAATAATTGTAATTATATATTATAGACTTTAGTATTCCTTTTTATATATTTTATGAAAACGAAAAAAAACAAAAGAAAAGAAAAATGTTAATATAATTTTATGTTTTTTTTTTTATTTAAAATATTTTTAAATCATGGAAAATATATATACTATTTTTGTTTATAATTTCTCTTTTATTATTAGTTATTAATAAACTTTAATTTTAAACACTCACTACTCACATACAAACACATTTAACCTTAAACTTTTGCTAACTTCAATAGATTTCTTAACAACGACTTTGTTTGTTTAAACAAAAATTGTTTCTTTTATAAACAATAACAAAAGATTCCAACACCAGGCATAAATTTCCATACAAAACAAAAACATTTTTTTTTTAGAAATATATATTAAAAAACAAGTATTTATATGCAATTTATTATAAAACAAAATAAAACATTAATACAATTTAAAACACCATAAATGATTAAAATATATTATCATTAAAAAAAAAACACAAAAAAGGAAGACAGACAACCTGACTCTTCTCAATTATTATTATTATAATTATTACATATTATTTATTATTATATTTCAACATTTTACATAAATACAAACAAAAAAGAAATATTAATTTAAATAAAAATTGCGGCTATAAATTATATACAAACAACAACAAGTAATAAACAAATAGAGGTAGTATGTAATAGTAAAATTTGTTTAAATGTTAATGACAAGTTTTAATGAAATTTAATAAAGGTGGGTATTATTTTAGACGAAATTTTTTGCAATATTTAAGAAGAAATTTTGATAAAAAAAAAACAATGTGTCAATAAAACAATCTAAAGTCTAGCTTATAGTGTAGTCTATAGTCTAGTTTAAAGTCTAGTGTATAGTTTAATTTATAGTCTGGTCTATAGTCTTGTCTATAATCTAGTCTATGGTCTAGTCTATAATCTGGTATTTAATCTAGTCTATAGTCTAGTCTATAATCTATTCTATAGTCTAGTCTATAGTCTAGTCTATAATCTAGTTTATAGTATAGTCTATAATCTAGTCTATAGTCCACTCTATAATCTGGTTTATAGTCTAGTCTGTAGTCTGCTCTATAATCTAGTCTATAATCTAGTCTCTAGTCTAGTCTATAGTCTAGCCTATAGTCTAGTCTATAATCTAGTCTATAGTCTAGTGTACAGTCTAGTCTTTATTCTAGTCTATAATCCAGTATACAGTCTAATCTATAGTCTACTCTATAATCTGGTCTATAAACTAGTCTGTAGTCTACTCTATAGTCTAGAGTGAGGTCTTGTCTATAGATTAGTCTATAATCTAGTCTCTAGTCTAGTCTATAATCTAGTCTATACTCTAGTCTATACTCTAGTCTATAATCTAGTCTATAGTCTAGTCTAAATTCTAGTCTATAATCTAGTCTATAGTTTAGTCTATAATCTAGCCTATAGTCTGTTATATAATCTGGTCTTTAGTCTAGTCTATAATCTAGTCTATAGTCTACTCTACAATATATTCTATAGTCTAGTCTAGTCTATAATATAGTCTATTGTATAGTCTATTATCTAGTCTATAATCTACTCTATAGTCTAGTGTGCATATAATGCAGTATACAGTCTAATCTATAGTATATTCTATAATCTGGTCTATAATCTAGTCTGCAGTCTACTCAATAGTCTAGAGTGCAGTCTAGTCTATAATCTAGTCTGTAGTCTGCTCTATAATCTAGTCTATAGTCTAGTCTATAATCTAGTCTCTAGTCTAGTCTATAATATATTCTATAATCTGGTTTAAAATCTAGTCTATAGTCTACTCTGAAATCTGATCTATGAATTAGTATATAGTCTACTCTACAATCTAGTCTATAGTCTAGTTTATAATCTAGTCTATAGTCTAGTGTACAGTCTAGTCTTTATTCTAGTCTAGAATGCAGTATACAGTCTAATAGTCTACTGTATAATCTAGTCTGTAGTCTACTGTATAGTCTAGAGTATAGTCTTGTCTATAATTAGTCTAGTCTATAATCTAGTCTATTGTCTAGTCTATAATCTAATCTATAATCTAGTCTATAGTTTAGTCTATAATCTAGCCTATATTCTGGTATATAATCTGGTCTTTAGTCTAGTCTATAATCTAATCTATAGTCTGGTCTATAATATAGTCTAGTCTATAATCTAGTCTATGGTCTAGTCTATAGTCTACTCTGTAATCTAGTCTGTAGTCTACTCTACAAACTACTCTATAATCTAGTCTATAATCAAGTCTATAATCTTGCCTATAGTCTAATCTATAGTCAAATCAATAGTTTAGTCTATAGTCTAGTCTATAATCTTGCCTATGGTAGGTAGGTAGGTAGGTTGATAGGAGGATGTATACTACATCAAATCCGAAGAAATACACCTAGGCCACTATCGGGCCTGTTGTGCGCTCCAATTCAAGAAAAAAAAAAAAAAAAAAAAAAAAAAAAAAATTGTTCACTGAATGTATTATTTTTCCATGTTCAGAAACTCAGTTTCCTGGACGTAATTCCTAAGAATCTTCCAATCGGTGTTGGTTAAGAATGTTATTTCTGGAATAACATCACTTCCAAGATACTTGGATCTAACTTCGACGAATGCCTGACAATGGCAAAGAAAGTGCTCCAGAGTTTCACTGTCCTCTCCACATGCTCTACATTCGTCTGAATTCGCACGTCCAATTTTGTATAGATGTGCTCGTAATCCTGTGTGTCCACTGAGAATACGTACCATCATACTAACCTCAGACTTGCTCATTTTGAGAAGATTTCTCGTCTTGCTCTCATCAGGGTCACCCCATAGAATCTTTGTGGTTCTACCCACCGTTTCATTATTCCAAGAGGCCTTATGGGATTCTCTCATCCATATTTTTAATTCAGCTTTTGTTGCGTCGAATGGTTTTGCGTTTGTCAGGTTAACTACATCGAGCTCCCTTCCCTTTAAAGCTATTACATTCGCCCTTTCGTTGCCGACTACTCCCGAGTGGCCTGGTACCCATATGATGTGAACCTTACCTCTGGGAGAGTATTCAGTTAAAGCTTTCTTACAATCCAATACAGTCTTAGATTTAATTCTATCACCTGATATCGCACAAATTGCCTTCTGGCTGTCGGTAAATATATTAAGCCCTGTGGGCGCCATATTTATTCTAATCCAATTTACACATTCCGTTATTGCTCGTACTTCTGCCTGGAAGCTTGTGTTATGATTAGGTAAACGGTGGTATATTTCTGTTTCTGGGTCTTCAATATAGAACCCCAGACCCACTTTGTCCCCTAATTTAGAGCCATCCGTGTAGCAACGGATTCCTACTGGTATTTGCTCTAATGTTCCGCTTGACCAAGACATTCTATCTGGGATTAGCGTTTCAAAGTTTCCGACATATTCAGTGTCTGGTATGCGATCAGGCACGTCCGATGAATGTGTATAACCTTCCAATGTGTCCAGTATACATTGATGACGTGTCCTATAACCGTTTTTGGCCAGTTCGCCTAAAGTAAAGAGCCGTTCGGCTGTAAGCGCCGCCTCATATCTTATATATGTTTCAATGGGTGGAATATCTAGCAACGTTTCCAGAGCCTTGGTTGAAGTAGTACACATGGCACCACTTATACCCAAGCAGCATGTACGCTGAACTCCCTGCAGTAGTTTGATATTACACTTTTTGTCCAAAGCACTCCACCAAATTATTGAAGCATAAGCTAGAATTGGTCTAATTACACTTTTATAAAGCCAATTTGTCATAGTAGGACTAAGACCCCATTTCATGCCTATGGTTCTCCTACATATCGCCCAGCACCGATGTGCCTTGTTGATCCTATCCTCTATGTGGTGTCTCCATTTTAATTTCCGGTCAAGTATTACACCTAAGTACTTAACTTTGTCTGTCACCGGTATCTTCTTGCCCAAGAAGCAACGTTCAGTATATGTAGAAATTTTTGTCTTTCTTGTGAAAAGACAGATTTCCGTCTTCGCCGGGTTAACATTGAGGCCTCTCGGTTGAGCCCAGCTCAAGGCCGTATTCAGAGCCTCCTCAGCTCTTCTACACAAGAGCTTATAGTCTAGTCAATAATTTAGTCTATAGTCTAGTCTACTGTTTAGTCTACAGTCTGGTATATAGTTTAGTTTATAATATAGTCTAGTCTTTATTGGAGTCTATAACGCTATCTACAGTCTAGTCTATAGTTTAGTCATTAATCTTGTCTAAAGTCTAGTTTATAAACTAGTGTATTCTATAATTTATTCTGCCTAAAATTGCATTAAAAACAAAAGACTTAAGTCACAAACTTGATTTCTCTTACAATTTCTGAGCACAAAAGACTTATGTGCTGTTTCTAGATAGCATGCGAGCACTTTGAGTTAAAATTTTATTTGTATTTTGTTATTGTTACAATAACAAAATACAAGTAAAATTTGTGCTCAAACTACTCGCTCGTTATCTAGAAACAACACATTAAGAAACATACATGAAATTTACCTCTAACTAATAACTCGCAAAATATAGGTCGGAGACAATTTTGGACTAGATTTTTGGATTCAGCTGTTGAAATTACCAGAAAGCACACTTTCCAGCCAAATTCGTCCACTAATGTAGAAGTTAAAACGTAAAAAAACTTAAAATCAAGGAAATTTGGCAAAATTTTTCGCAAATAGTTTCTATAGCCTAATTTAGGGGGCTCATTTGTTTTTGCACATACACATACATACCAACAGACATATACGTGTTAGAAATTTTACAAAATTTTATATTTTTTAGCTTTTATCTCGGAATTTGTTGGAGGAAATGAGCTGAAAACTTACCTTTTTAGTAATTCCGTGTGCTGAATCCGAAAATCAGCACTATTTTAAGCTAGGACTTATAGTTTGCTGTATATAAAGACCAGATGTTTTGTGGGCGATTGGTAAGTTCTATCAAAAAATGGTGGTCATTTTTAGATTCAGCAGGCAAAATTACTGCGGGGGTAACTTTCTAGCTTAATTTTATGCATAATTAAGGAAATAATTAATAAAATTAAAAATTCATAGAAATTGGCTTGATTTTTTATTGCATTTTGTTTCTACAGCATACTTTGGGGGCTGCACATTTTTAAAAATTTGTATTAACAGTTTTTCTGTGAATTTTGGGGGTGTATAGCCCTGGAATCTTACTTTATTAATAAGGTTTCGTTTTAAATTCGAAATCAGCACCAAATTTGCCGACGAATCATATTTTACTAAAAACCAAATATATTTTTTTTATTTAAAAGCAACGTTGTTTTAAGAAAACCGTAAATTATGCTAAAGAACAGTTTTGCAGTTTGTTTACTATTAATATTGAGTATATGGCATCACTGTCATTAAAATGTTTTGTCATAAATTAGTGATGTCAAGTATATATTTTATAACGTAAAGATTTACGCTATTGTAATGCTATTTTAACGGGTTTTTCAGGGTGATGGAAGTTGGAAACATCCTATTTTTCAACTTTACATAATTTCAGTTATATATAGCTAAATAATAATCATTCTTTATTATACATAAGTATAAAAAAACATTTACATACATAGTTTAAGCTTAAAATTGTTTAAAACCTAAAAACTTTATCAGTAATCAAAAATAAATTGCCTTTTAATATAAAATGAAAACTTAGGGCCCGGCCCGACGCCGATTTAAAAAAGGAAAATTATTTTTATATATTTTATAACAAAAAAAGTATTTAACTATTTCTCTCTTATAAAATATTTTAAAAATAAAATTTCCTTTCTAAACCACCTTAAACTCAAGACCCTTAAATTAAATTAAAAAAAAATGTTTTATAAATAAAAAACAAACAAATAAAATATATCATTTTTCTTGTAAGTGAGATTAAAAACTAAGTCTTATTCATCATCCGAATCGGTAACAGAGCAAACACCACAATGTTTATTTGTCGAACGACCGGGAACACAATCTTCATGATAGACATGACCACATCGGAATGCTACGACATTATTAAGCGGTATAGTAGTGGCTTTACATAAAATATTACGCTTACATTCGCAACATTTATTATCATAGCTAATACTTAATGCACGATTCTGTTGACGCACCACCTGTGAGTGTGTCTCAAAGTAATCAATTAATTGGATTTTATTGAAACCTTTTTGGATTTCGACCTGAAAAGAATAGAAGTGATTATTAATAATTTTTGTTTATATTTGATTGACTCTTACCTGTAAACGATAGTCCCATAACATTTTATATAAGGATTTTCTTAAACCTGGTATTTTTTGTCCTAATTTTATTTTGTTCACTAATCTTTCAGGATTTATGTAACCTATAAGAGCATAAATAGTAAATAATTTAAAATTTTAAGATAATTTATTTGATTTCTGTTGTGATTTTAAGTTTTAACCTTTAAATATATGTATGATTGATAAAATTAAATATAGACTTTTGTTTTGTTTTCCTTACCTATTATACCATCCAAAAGTTTAGTTAATATTTCGGGATTTTTTACAGATTCTTCTATTAATAAGTTCCACAGATCGGAATCGTCATGTTCTTTACAAAACTCTATAGCCATTTCAATATCTTCTATCTGGAGATGTTAAATGGAAAAGTATTAAGATTTATATAAGTGTTAATATCATATTAAGCCGGTTGGAATGTGATGGAAATCGAGAAATGGATTTTCTTTCTCTAAATAATCGCATATTTTCCACTTTACCTTGTGTATTATGATATTTAAAGCTTCCGTTACATTACCCATTTGCCCCAGTAAATACACCATTTCCGGATGAAATGATTTACTTTTGCATATATTCAAAGCTTCCTGTATATGATAATGTTTTGAACGTCTAAGAAATGGCAACAATTTGGAACGATTGTATATTGCATATAAACCCACTAACTTCCAATGGAATGTACCACTATTATCCACCTTATCTAAGGCATCCAAATACTAAAATTATAGTAAATTACAAAACAAATGATTTTACATTTTAAAAAGTTTTCATACCAAATATAAAAACTCCTGATACGGCTCCAATTGTTGAACAACTATCTCTGGTGGTATTTTACTTTTATTCAAAAGTATCTGAAAGGCACGTTCCTGATCCAGCTGTATGAGCGGTACAATCATTTTGTGTATAACACTATAGAGATCATAACGTCTAATTAAATCGAAAACATCTTTATTTCCAATTTCAAATACATTCTCAAGGCATTCTCGTAGTCCCTCTGGTAGGTATAGAGCAAAGCTAACGATTCGAGTAATTCATTGGCATATTGTTTGCGAAAATTATCATGTATGGCATTTATAACGGCGGAACAATCGTATAAATTTGAGGGCCACTCTTTGATTAGATTTAAAAATCCTTTAACATCGAATTTTAAATATTCGTATAAAACCATTTCGTAAACATGAGGATCTAGTTTACAATCATCCGATGTGGGTAAATAGGCACTAACCGAACGTAATTGATTGTGTTTGACAAACTTAAAGACTTCTTCCTCCCAAAGGGATTTGTTATTACCCAAGACACGTAGACATAGCTTGCCAGCGGTATCGAAATCTTTTTTTGTTATTAAATAATTTATATAAGTTCTAAAAGGAATCGTACGATTAGGTATATATGTACTATATATTAAGAGAAAACTTACCTGGCAACTGGTAATATATTACCACCATGTAAAGATGTTATTTCCATAGCTTCCTCAAATTTTCTAAAAATGTAATGAAAATTTTAATTTTTTTTAAAAAAAATTTCCCAGGCATCCAGTAGTGATATTTTTTTTTCATAAAAAATATCTTTAACATAATATATTTCAAAATTATAATTTAAAGAAATTGCTAAAACGCTTAAAAATTCTAATACTGGCATCTCTTTAACTTGCTAGCATATGACAGTGCTGCTAAATAAGTGCTTTTACTAGAACAAAAATCACTACCTTGTAAAAAGATATATTTTACCACATTTTCCAACACTATTAAAATGCATCAAAACATCTGTCAAAATTCACAATTTGTTTACACCGGAGGAATAAATTAAAAAGTAACAAATAATACTTTAAATTTAATAAAATCGACACAAAAAACATAATTTTTAAATGATAAAAATTAAATAAATTAATAATTATATAAATTAATTAAACTAGCATTAAATTTTAAGTGAAAAACTACAACTTGAAGCTATGTATGTCATCATACTCCGCTAACATGAGTTATTGATTAAAGTTTGGTCATCTTTTCTGGTACAGCGATATATTAACAACAATAAGCCCTCATCATGAGACGTATGAATAACTTATTAACTTTATTTACGGCCATGGTGGCCTTTTTCTTTGGCTTTTTTATTACCAAACTTTTGACTACCGTAGACAAATGTCCCACTCAAAAAAGTGGAGTTCATAAGTTGGAAACCGCATCCAGAACTGTTTTTAATGGTGCTTGTTTTAAGTGCACCCCGCTATGAGGAGAAACGTAATGCTATACGTGAGACTTGGCTAAAATTAGGACGACCATTACAGTTGCCTTATTATCCCGAAGAATTTGTTTATTTGCCCTATTATGGGGCAAGAGGACATTTAGAAGTAGAAGGTCCAGCAGAGCAGGCCAATCGTTTGCGTATTTTTATAGATTGGTTAGAAGATCAAAATCATAGAAAAGCTGTTAATGCTGTAAGAAATATAAAGGTTAAACATTTCTTTGCCATAGGCACTCAAGGTTTGGATGCCGCCCTTAGATCGCAATTGGAAAAGGAGCAGAAAAAACATTTAGATTTATTATTACTACCACGTTTAACGGATACCTATGCTAATTTAACCGAAAAACTTCTACATTCCTTGGATGCTTTAACCCATCATTATTATTTTAGTTATTTGCTTAAAGTGGATGATGACACTTATGTGAAATTAGATTTGCTATTAAATGAATTGGTATCCTATGATCGCAAGTTAATACGCAAGAGTCACGAATATAAAGGACACCCTTTACCGAATCTATATTGGGGTTACTTTAATGGTAGAGCTAATATCAAGACCAAAGGACAATGGAGTGAACCCAACTATTATCTCTCCTATCGTTATAATACTTATGCTTTGGGTGGCGGTTATATAATTTCACGTAAACTTTGTGAATATGTGGCCAATAACTCGCACACCCTCTCAACATATGTGAGTGAAGATGTTTCAATGGGCACTTGGTTGGCACCCTTTAGAAATGTTTATCGTCGTCATGATCCTCGCTTTGATACCGCCTATATGGCTAGAAAATGTAAAAAGTACCATTTGGTATTGCACAAACGTAATGAGACTTTAATGCGAGATTTATACAATAATAAACTTTGCTCTTTTGAAGTGGTCAATGAACAACAGTTGCAACGTCCACCAGAGTATTATTACGACTGGCGCAAAACAGCCGATAAGTGTTGCGATAATTTAGTCGTATAAATCTTTTATTAATGTGCCAGATTAGTTTATGTTGATAATCTACTAAGCAAAAGTTAGTAGCAATATTAAATCTTAAAATGCCTTAAAATTTAGTCAAAAAATATATGATATTAAAACCAAAGCTCAAATAAATTAATAAATAAACTAGTTAGTCAAATATAAAACGAAAATAGAAGTTTTTTTTTAATAAACTGTAAGGTAAAAAGAAACGGGGGATAACTGCCAAAGTCGAATTCTATATAGCTATTTATCTATCTCTATATCCATGTATCTATCTATCTATCTATCTATCTATCTATCTATCTATCTATCTATCTATCTATCTATCTATCTATCTATATATCTATCTATCTATCTATCTATCTATCTATCTATCTATCTATCTATCTATCTATCTATCTATATATCTATCTATGTATCTATCTATCTAGCTATCTATCTATCTAGCTATCTATCTATCTATCTATCTATCTATCTATCTATCTATCTATCTATCTATCTATCTATCTATCTATCTATCTATCTATCTATCTATCTATCTATCTATCTATCTATCTATCTATCTATCTATCTATCTATCTATCTATCTATCTATCTATCTCTATCTATCTATCTATCTATTCATTTGATTAGTATATAAAAAACTTTCTCTCTTACTTGTGTTCTATCAACCATTGTACACGATCCTCAGTATCAAGTAAAGTTGCCACAACAATATCCTTTGGTGCAATAAGATAATAACGATTCTCTTCTGGTAAACAACCCAATATATAATCATTAACGGAATATTCCTTAAAACTGTAATAAAAATAAAATCAATAAGTTGCAGTAATAAAAGCAAATTGCAATAAATATAGTTACCCTCTTAAAGATAAACTATCAGTGCAAATTTCCTCACTGCTATTTAACTTATATTCCAGCACTGATAAGACGGGTCGTAAAGCTTTGCGTTCAGAATCCTTTTCCTTCGGATAGCCCAAAACCACCAATTGATTGGAAGTTAAAGCAGCCAAACCACTTATATAAAAAGTGGTCTGAAATGTAGATACTAAAAAATAGGAAATAATAAAGTAAATCTATAACATATAGAACTAAATACTTACTAGGATCTACTATAAAACCAGGTAATGCTCTTAAGGTGGCCTCCACTGCATTACGTTTACGTATGACACAAATTCGTATCGTATCAACCCAGCCAATTAGTAGAGTATTTGCATTAGCCCAACGAAAATTGCAGCGAAAGTTTTCTAGACGCGCACTGGAGATGTAAAAAGTTATTTACATGTTTTTATTACTTATTAATAAGTTTAATACTTAGGTGGTTCCTCCCATTTCATAAGACCCAATGAGCATTTCTCATTTAAATCATACACTCGAACACCTAAACAACTAGCCCAGGCCACGAAGGGACCATTCCAACACACCGATATAACATGGCCCTCGGCAGTTGATAAAACATTTGGTTTTAGCTTCTTAAGAAAATTTTTCTCATAAATTGTTAGTTTATCATCGCCTACAGAAATTGTTACAACATTTACAACTCAAGATTTATCAAATTGCCAAAGATAAACGTTTTGTTTTCAACATACCGACTATAAATCTTCGACCTTCCGTAACTTTAGGATCTGGATCCAATACCACCGATCTTATGGAATGGCCAAAGCTAATAGTTTGATTTTGTTCATCACTAAATAGACCAATAATATTAACTCTGCCATCATCTGAACACGTTACGATATGTTCACCCTTGGTATCTATATCCACTTCATTTACCGCTACCGTATGCGCAAATTCCTTGCGGTCACCAGTTAAATGAGAATTTACGGTATTACCTTGATGATCCAAAAGATAGACACCGCCCAAAAATGTGCCAAAAATTAAAAACTAAAAATTTAATTCCAATTAATAACCTTTCAACATAAAGTACTTCATAATAAAGTTGAAAAACCTTGGAGTGTACAGCACATGCCGTGACTACATCCTTATTCAGTATGTCCTTTAGATCATGGGCTAAACGTTGATACTTAAATTTTGGTTCAATCTCCTCTTCTGTGCTATCTTCTGTCTCCTAGAAAAGCACACACACACACACAAACGTTTACAACAATTACACATGTCATGTATCAATTTTATGACTTTTTGCTACTTACACTACACAATGTCTCATTTTCAGCCATTATCTTTTATATTTTCCTAAATACTGTTTAATATAAGATTTTTTATCTGTTAGAATAACTCTAAACAAAAAAATACAATAAATACGACTGAATGTTTTTATTGTTTTTGTTCGATTGATTATTTATCATCATCAGCTGTTTGATGACAGTTTTTTTTGTACATTGTTTAGAAAATTTTTAATAAAAGGAAAATGTCAAACATGTTTAACTTATGATTTGTTTACAATTGATACCACCGACGACAAAACACTTACTTTTATGTTTAATTGATAAAAATTCAAAATAATTTAGATTTTGAACTTTTTTATGACAACTTTTTACCAGAGAAATGTTCGGCAAAAAAAAAAAATTGCTAGAAATGGTATCTAAAAATTTACTTGTAGAAGTTTAAAATTTGTAGTACATATATTAAAATTTTTTATAATTTTTTCGAAAATGTATATTAAAGGAATTTTCTGATTTTCTGAAAGAGGCCAAAAATGAGGTTTAGGGTCAAATATGGACATAACATTTGACAGTCGGGAAGTAAGTAGATATGTAATTTGTTTTATTAGCTGTCCAAACTCAGATGTTTCTTGACCAAGTTTAAACCACCTTTATAGAACTTACTTTAGCATAAAATGAGAAATAAAATCAAAAGCAATATTCGAAGTTTAAACTTAATTCAGTTGCTGATAATTGTGAAAATGGGGATAAAATAAATATTTTAACTTATATTAATAAATTCTTATACATACATAATTTTGTTCAGGCACCCTTAATCCCAATTTGGGAACCTCAGCCTAAGACCACGATATTGAACATTGATTTGAGAGGAATAAAAAGTACAGAAATACAATTTAATTTCACTTCTAGCTTTCTTTGCTAAAGATCATTAATAATATAACTCCATATTCTTACGTCTTTTTACAACGCAGTAAATGCAAACACACGCTACGTTTTGTATACTTTGACTGCAACAGCAACTTTTATACAAAATAATATTTAGTTATTTATCAACAGCTTGTGAAACTGGTTAATGAAACTATTGTTACCAACTGACTGCTGAAAAAATGACTACTTTACAACCAAATTTTATGGTTTATTTTCTTAAAACTGCCGAAGCCGATAAACTCAGGTGTAGACTATGCAACAGATTCATAAAGACGGGAAGAAATTATAATTTAAGGCAACATTTACAACTTAAACATAAATTGGAGGTATGTATGTTTTTTTTAAACGGAAGCAGTTCGACGAATTTTTCAATAAAAAACAATTATTAATTTAAAGTGTTGTAAAAGTGCGTATGCAATAGTGGTTGGTAAATGTGTATACATTTTTATAATACCCATAGTAATTATCATTAATATAAAACGTAAACAATTACGTCTTTTAATAACGCAGTAAATGAAAACACACACTACGTTTTGTATGGTTTGACTGCAACAGCAACATTTTTACTACTATATGCATTTAGTTATCAACTACTCGTGAAACTGGAAACTAAAACTGTCATAGTAAGCGAACGAAGGAAAAATTAAATTGTTATACATACAAACATTTGACTTGCAAGTGGAAAAACTACCAAGAAAGTGGCAAAAATGGCTACTCTGAATAAACCGAATTTTATGGTTTATTTTCTTAAAACTACCGAAGTAGACAGAGTCAAGTGTAAACTTTGCAATAGAGAGTTAAAGTCAAAACGACTCTTCAATTTAAAGCAGCATTTACTAGTTAGACATCAATTAGAGGTAAATAAGATATCTGTTGAAAATCGTATATAGTTCGACTATATTTTTGTTTTCAGCAAGCAAAAAATGCTTAGTTTTTAGTGCTGTCATAATATGTAGTAATAGTTGGTAATCGTGTATAGATTCGTAGATACTCAGATAAAATGTGAAAGGTCCAATTGGAAAATTTAGTTTGGTGTAAACATAAACGACTGGGTAAGTAATGTATTTTAAAAAAAAAGAAAATTTTCAACAGAAAAATAGAAAGTTAAGTAAGTAAGTAAGTAAGTAAGTAAGTAGTAAGTAAGTAAGTAAGTACGTAAGTAAGTAAGTAAGTAAGTAAGTAAGTAAGTAAGTAGTAGTAAGTAAGTAGTAAGTAAGTAAGTAGTAAGTAAGTAAGTAAGTAAGTAGTAGTTAGTAAGTAAGTAGGTAAGTAAGTAGTCGTACGTAAGTCCGTAGTAGTCGTAGTAAGTAAGTCCGTAGTCAGTCCGTCCGTCGTTCCGTCAGTAGTCCGTCCGTCCGTCCGTCGTCGTTCCGTCGTCGTCCAGTCGTCCGTACGTCGTTCCGTCCGTCCGTCCGTCCGTCCGTCCGTCCGTCCGTCTTTCGTCCGTCCGTCCGTCCGTCCGTCCGTCCGTTCGTATCCGTCAGTCGTCCTTACGTACCCGTCCGTCCGTCCGTCCGTCCGTCCGTCGTCCGTCCGTCGTCCGTCCGTCCTCCGTCCGTCCGTCGTCCGTCCGTCCGTCCTTCCGTCCTCCGTCCGTCCGTCCGTCCGTCCGTCCGTCGTCCGTCCGTCCGTCCGTCCGTCCGTCCGTCCGTCCGTCCGTCCGTCCGTCCGTCCGTCCGTCCGTCCGTCCGTCCGTCCGTCCGTCCGTCCGTCCGTCCGTCCGTCCGTCCGTCCGTCCGTCGTCCGTCCGTCCGTCCGTCCGTCCGTCCGTCCGTCCGTCCGTCCGTCCGTCCGTCCGTCCGTCCGTCCGTCCGTCCGTCCGTCCGTCCGTCCGTCCGTCCGTCCGTCCGTCCGTCCGTCCGTCCGTCCGTCCGTCGTCCGTCCGTCCGTCCGTCCGTCCGTCGTCCGTCCGTCCGTCCGTCCGTCGTCCGTCCGTCCGTCCGTCCGTCCGTCCGTCCGTCCGTCCGTCCGTCCGTCCGTCCGTCCGTCCGTCCGTCCGTCCGTCCGTCCGTCCGTCCGTCCGTCCGTCCGTCCGTCCGTCCGTCCGTCCGTCCAGTCCGTCCGTCGTCCGTCCGTCCGTCCGTCCGTCCGTCCGTCCGTCCGTCCGTCCGTCCGTCCGTCCGTCCGTCCGTCCGTCCGTCCGTCCGTCCGTCCGTCCGTCCGTCCGTCCGTCCGTCCGTCCGTCCTCCGTCCGTCCGTCCGTCCGTCCGTCCGTCCGTCCTCCGTCCGTCCGTCCTCCGTCCGTCCGTCCGTCCGTCCGTCCGTCCGTCGTCCGTCCTCGTCCGTCCGTCCGTCCGTCCGTCCGTCCGTCCGTCCGTCCGTCCGTCCGTCCGTCCGTCCGTCCGTCGTCCGTCCGTCCGTCCGTCCGTCCGTCCGTCCGTCCGTCGTCCGTCCGTCCGTCCGTCCGTCCGTCCGTCCGTCCGTCCGTCCGTCCGTCGTCCGTCCGTCCGTCCGTCCGTCCTCCGTCCGTCCGTCCGTCGTCCGTCCTCCGTCCGTCCGTCCCGTCCGTCCGTCCGTCCGTCGTCCGTCCGTCCGTCCGTCCGTCCGTCCGTCCGTCCGTCCGTCCGTCCGTCCGTCGTCCGTCCGTCCGTCCGTCCTTCCGTCGTCCGTCCGTCCGTCCGTCCTCCGTCCGTCCGTCCCGTCCGTCCGTCCGTCGTCTCCGTCCGTCCGTCCGTCCGTCCGTCCGTCCGTCCGTCCGTCCGTCCGTCCGTCCGTCCGTCCGTCCGTCCGTCCGTCCGTCCGTCCGTCCGTCCGTCCGTCCGTCCGTCCGTCCGTCGTCCGTCCTTCCGTCCGTCGGTCTTCCCCTTTTCCCCCCTCCTCCTCCCTCCCTCCTTCGTTTGTCCGTTGGGTGCCGTCCCGGCCTTCCGCCCGTTCGTTTTTGTTTCCCTCCTTTTGTTTGCCTCCCCTTGTGCGCCTTTTGCCCTCCCTTCCCTCCCCCTCTTGTCCCCCTGGCTTTTGTCTCCCCGTTCTCTCTTTCCTTCTCGCCCGTTTCTCCCCCCTTCCCTGCCCCTTTTCCCCCTCGTCCCCGTCGTCGTCGTTTGTCGCCGTCCCCCCCCTCCCTTGTGCGGTTCTCCTCCCCCCCCCCCCCGCCCGCTTGTTTGCTCCCTTTTTCTTCCGCCCCCCTCTTCCGTTCCCTGCTTCCCTCTCATAAATTTTAATAAGTGTTAACAAAAATTTAAACTACACACAACAACAAGCTTAAAATTAATTTGGACTCCAACCACCACTACTATGACTACGATTAAAGGTCAAAATTTTTGGATTTATTTCGCTAGTACGCCGGAACCTAACAAAGTTAAATGTAAACTTTGTAATAGCACACTCATATCGAAACGTTCTTTTAATTTGAGAAAACATTTAAAAATGTTGCATCAACTAGAGGTAAACAAAAAAACAAATTTTTTGGAAATATTTATGAGTTTGACTACAAAAATACGGTAGCAATTTTAGTGTTGACGAAAGTATTCGAGTAGTGGGTAACGATGAACATCTTTTTGTTCAGACTAAATGTAGATAATTTTCAGGGTTGTATATTTTGTGTTTTAAAATATAACGGTTAATAGACAACTCTGTTTAAGAATATTAGGGCAATAAACTTTTATAAAACAAAACAAGCTCCGCACGCAATTTTTGCAGTATTTAGGATGCTATTCTAATGTCACGTACGTGCTGTAAAAACATTATGTATCTACAAACGTTACTTGTATTTAATTAGACGCAAGTTTTTTAAATACAATTTCAGAGCAAAATAGTTATTTGTCGCAAAAAAATATATCTAAATTTAAAAAAAATTTATATAAACTTTTAATTTAAAAGATTTAACATTTGTCACGTACGACATAGTAAGTACTTAGTACAAACTAAACCAGATTAATAGCGTCCACTTGATAATTATAGATTTTTTATTAAGATGGGTAAAAGTAAATATGATACTACTAAGAAATGGAGAGAGGAATTGAAAAAGGATGAGGCAAAACTAAAGGAGTATCGAAAAAAAGAGGCGGAAAGACAGCGTATTTATCGTAGAAAGTTGGCAGATGCTGCTAAAAAAGACATCAAAGTTCTTGAAGAAAAGAGAATAAAAGATCGTATTCGACAACAAAGACGCAGGGCCATAAATGAAAATGTAGGTAGCTTTTTGCCTGAAAAAAAAGAAGGCAATCTTTGAGGGAAGCTTTAATTTCTCACAGTAGAGAGAACTATGTCAACAAGAAGTTCTACAAATTTGTACACATATACCATATTACTAGGAAAAGATCTTTGTATTCTAAAAATATGTCAAAATTTTGAAATAGTTAGACTATCGTTTGCAATAGAAATCTCTGGCCGTAAAACTATTAGTCATGATTTTAAAACAAATAATGGATTATTCTTTTATTCTTTCAGTTTCGTCCAACAAAACGCATATATACAAAAACCCCAAGAAAACCACCTCCACCAGTCCCTTCAATTGATCTTGAGAATGCCTCGTCTTCTTTCAAATATGACGAACATACTACATTGGAGAATAGGACAGCAGAAAGTGGAAATAATTTTTCCGATCTAAATGCAACAACATTGGGTTCAAACGAAACCTTAAGCAGGGACTCATTTTCAATACTACCAACAACAACGAGTAAGTACGATGATCATAAACGAGAACAGAAAACGTTTTAATTTAAACATCAATTTTTAAAGATAAACTTTGATATAAACTATTTAAAATTATACTTTAATTATAGTTGTTCCCGATACTATTAAAGTAAAAGTAGAGGAAGAAGATTTTGAACATGACATGACTACAGAGAAAGAAGCAGGAACTACGTTTGAAGGCAATAATTCAGACGATGAAACTATTTACAACATTGCACAGAATGCAGCTTTACAAAATCTTTCAAGTAAGCGAAAAAAATTATAAAAATTTAAAGAGAAAATTTAAATTAACATTTCAGCTCAACATTTACAAACGGACAACTTTGCTGAGCCTTCATCAATAAGACCAAATAAACTAGCCAGCAGCAGCTTTAATGGTATATTCCACAAATCTTTAATTTTAAACCTAAAATACAATATTATTTAAATATTTCAGATTCTTATCCCTTTACATTTAAAGAACCACGCCGCAAGAAGAAAAAGACTGCAATATCTTCAACGGATAATAGGCAAACAATGCCGTTAGATCCTCTAGATGATAATACCTCTTCAAGTAAAACTGATTACTTTGAACAGTGGGCAAATAAGAAAAAACAATTATTGGAAATAGAAATGCTTGAAATGAGAAATTATAAATTTAAATTAGAGCTATGGGAAAAGGAGCAACAATTGACGGTCGCTAATTCAAAATTCACCAAGGATATTAAACTGAAAAGTGCTGAAGAGTAAATTTAAAAAAAAAAAATTGTATCTTTTTATATAAAAAAGCTTCATAGTGTTGAAATTAACAATAGAAAAATGATTTCTTGCTGTAATTGACTTATTATCCCAAAAATTGAGATAATCACATTGTGAAAGCTGTTAATTTGACTCTTTATATTTATTTAAGTTATATATAAGTTTTAGTATTTTAAACTTTAAAATAAAGATATCAGATTTTTGTAATGTAAATGTTTTATTTAATGATGATTTAAATCTACATATTTTCAAATTTGCTGTAGTCCAAAAGAATTAGGAAAGACTTGAGTTTGAAAACATGCTTCTGGTATGGTAATAAGAAGCTTTTAATAAATATCTGGTCACAAGAACTCATTCTGCGACTACTTTTCCTTACCCGATTTATGTTGATTTATCTACATACATTATCAGCTGTTTGGTGTTATTGTTTTTTATAAAAGACCGTTACCGCTAAGCTATATCTACCGTTAAAATATCATTTCAGCACCAATACTGTTACCGATACCGAAATAAGTCAAAATACCGATAATGCTAAGATACCGTTACCGAATTAAGCCAAAATATCGATAACGCTAAAATATCGTTACAGAAATAAGTTTCAATAACGATACCGGTACCTTTTCACCGCTTCTAAACGGTTGCCAAACTTGCAACTTCATTAAATAACCGTTTTAAATGCAAGATTGGCAAACTGTTACCGTTAAAATACCTTATCAGTACTACTTCCGTTACCGCTAAAATACCGCTACCGAAAAAAGTAAAAATACCGATAACGCTAAGCTATAGTTACCGTTAAAATACCCTTTACCGTTAAAACATCCTTTCCTTTACCGAATTAAGCCAAAATATCGATACCGCTAAAAAACCTTTGCGGAAATAAGTTCAAATACCGATAACGGTACCTTTTTACCGCTTCGAAACGATTGCCAAACTTGCTTTATTGAGAACAACATTCCAAAAATTGCCACCTGCTTGTAAGGGTGTCAGCGGTGAGTCATCTAAGGAGGTCATGGCGGATGTTCACCTAAAACACTTCGACTTATATGTACATGCGAACGGACAGACGGATATGGCTAAATCAACTCCGCTATTTATAAGGACTTGTAATATACATATGTAATTTATAATGTCGGAATATTATATAGTAGAAAATAAAAACGGAATGACAAACTTGTGTACACTCTTACCACGAAGCTGAACAACAAGATGCTTCCATCGTTGGTCAAAATAAAGTATTATTGACTGAACAGTAAGCATGAAAAAAGTCCATACACTGAGACCAATATACATACATATGTATACTTGACTAAAGGATAGAGCAGTGCTGAATCCGAATCTGCCCTTCGAATTTAACCCTGGCATAATATTTATACCCTACACCACTTTAGTGGGGAGGGTATATTGGATTTGTGCTGATGTTTGTAACATACAAAAATATTCGTCCTAGACCCACCTTAAAGTATACCAATCGGCTTAGAATCGTTTTCTGAGTCGATTAAGCTATGTCCGTCCGTCCGTCCGTCTGGCTGGCTGTCCATGTAAACCTTGTGCGCAAGGTACAGGTCGCAATTTTCAAGATAATTGGATAAAATTTGGCATGCACGTTTTATTTGACCCAAGGACGAAGCCTATTGAAAATGGTTAAAATCGGTCCATTATTTCACCTAGCCCCCATAGAACAGAACCCCCCGAAAAGGGCTTCTGAGCTCATAATTATATTAAATATACAGATATATCGATAAAATACGGCACAACTAAGTTTTATAGAATTCTTGATGACCCTGCCAAATTTCATAAAGATCGGGCCCCATTTGACCCTAGCTCCCATATAAAGTCCCCTTCAGAAAATTACTTGAATGTCCCAAATTAACTTATAAACACAAATATTACGATGAAATTCAGCACAATAAAATATTATGTAAATATAAATATATTCACAAAATTTTATCGGGCTTGGTCCATATTTGCCCCTAGCCCCCATATAAAGCCTCTTTCAGAAAATTAGTTTTCATCCATAAATTGCTTAGATGTATCGGAACAAGGGAATATTGAAAATAAATGCTTTACTATGAAAAATAAATCACATTTAATATTCATAACTGGTGTAGGGTATCATATGGTCGGCCTCGCCCGACTATACTTTCTTACTTGTTTTTATATATAGTTTTTTTTTTCAAATTTTGTTGGCTTGTGTTATTAAGGTCATTGAAAATTTAATTCAAATACTTTATATTTGTTAATATGCAATAACAAAAGAGTAATAGGTATAAAATTCAGTTTAATTTGTTTAAAATTACATACATATATTACCGATAACGTTATCTACTATTTAACATCTCTGTTTTAGTAAATAACGTAGTCAACGTAACAAAATATTACGTTTTCTAAATATGTAACACGACAACAACATATGTATGTATTTATTACAACTACTATAGCAGCAGCAGCAGCAGATCTATAAGAACACAAACACTAAATTGGACTAATTATTGCTAAGCTAATATATTTATTATTATTTAAATATTAAAAAACAACAAATAACTACAATATTTTATTACAATGGCAACATTAGTGGGTGCAAATTTTTTTGTTTATTTTACCACTACCGATGATAGTGAACGAGTACGCTGTAAACTTTGCAATAAAAGTCTTATGGCTAATAGACGTTTTAACCTAAAACAGCATTTAAAGCAAACACATAAAATAGAGGTAAGCTAAAATATGACAAAAACGATAGTACTATCAAATGTTGGGCTATAAATAGAAAGCACTTATTTTGCGTAGAAATTTTTGTACCCTGTGTAAAAGAAAAATATTGCAGATTCTACTAATATAGCCCAAAAAGTAAAGAGTGTTTTTCCCCCTTACAAGTTTAATAAAAAACTATAATTATTTTTTGTTTTATTAATTATTAGGTTAGTTCAGGTAACAGTAAAGTTAAACATGGTTCTGTTGATAGAAAATCCAAAAAAATTGCACCATCGGATATCGATGAAAGTCGTACGGAGGATAATGCTGATAATTTCTTTGATATGAATTCTCAATCCATGGACTCAAATGATTCAGATACTTTAGCACGTATGTTAATTACAACAAGTTATTGCTAAAAGACTAAATAATAGGTGTGTTCGTTATATTTCTATATAAATAATATTATTTACAGTTCCTTCGGGTATAGAAGTAAAAACCGTACGTGTACAAGAAATGCGTTTAAAAGGTAAAGCAAATAATGAAGTCGTGGAACAGGGTGTAACATATGAAATTGAAAATCTTGATGAGAATAATGCAGAAACTTCTACACAAAACGTTTCCGGTAAGTGTTAAACTATAAAGTAGGGTTCTATAGTTGAAACGAAAAGTCGACTTTTCGACTTTTTGCATTTAGTTAAAATTCGACTTTTCGACCTTTCGACTTTTTCCATTTTATGAAAAGTCGATTTTTCGACTTTTCGACCTTTTTCATTTATTTAAAAGTCGACTTTTCGACTTTTAGTATTTTATAAATGGTCGACTTTTCGACTTTTTCCGACTTTTCGACTTTTTCCGACTTTTTTCGACTTTTCGACTTTTTTTCGACTTTTTCGATTTTTCGACTTTTTCCGACTTTTCGACTTTTTGCGACTTTTCGACTTTTTGATTTTTTACGACTTTTTGACTATTTTCGATTTATTTCGACTTTTTTTTTACTTTTTTCGAGTTTTTCCGACTATTTTAGAGTTTTTGACCTCTTTTCCACTTTTTTAAAATTTTCGACTTTTTCCGACTTTTCGACTTTTTTCGATTTTTCGACTTTTTCCGACTTTTCGACTTTTTGATTTTTTACGACTTTTGACTATTTTCGATTTATTTCGACTTTTTTTTTACTTTTTTCGAGTTTTTCCGACTATTTTAGAGTTTTTGACCTCTTTTCCACTTTTTTAAAATGTTCGACTCTTTTCGACTTTTCGACTTTTTTCGACTTTTTCCGACTTCTCGACTTTTTTCGACTTTTCGACTTTTTTCGACTTATCGACTTTTTTCGACTTTTCAACTTTTTTCGACTTTCCGATTTTTAGACTTTTTTCGACTTTTATTTACAAAGTCAACTTTTCGACCTTTTTAATAGACGATAGTCGAGTTATCGACTTTTTTGGAACAAAATAGTCGACTTCGACTTTTCGACTTTTTTCGACAAAAAGTCGATTGTTCGATTATTCGAAAGTCGATTTATAGAACCCTACTATAAAGGAAACAATTTTTAAACAAAACCTTTACATGATTTAAGTTTAATATTGAACTTTTTTATTGTAAAATTTCAGAACAAGCTCTACAAACTGATACTTTTGTTGAACCCATACCTTTGCCAAAGTTAAACAAACTCAAACGTGTCTTGAGCGGTATGTTAATGATCTTATGAAATGATATTTTTACTTTTTTATGTTAATATTGAATTTTTCTTCGATTACAGATCCCTTAAATGAACCTATACTCCCAAAGAAAACACCAAAATTTGAGCCACAATTAAAGAAGAAAAGGGACAACGTAATAGCCGATGGTAAGCAGAGTTTGATTAGTTTTAGTAAATATTCGAATTTTTAGTAAAAATATTTAGTTAACACATTCGAATTCTAATTGTTAATAAGAATTTTTGGTAAATATTTTCAATTTAATTTTCAAAAAATTTTAAATTTTTGAAAAAATTTGCATAAAATTTTTATAAAAATGTTGAAATTTTTGTAAAAAATTTTACATTTTTATTAAAGATTCGACATTGTTAATGTTTTATCACAATTCGTCAATTTAACTTCAAAATTTAATACAAATTTGAATTTTTGACAAAAAATCTGATTTTTAGTGAAAATTTCGATATATTGTTTTAAGTTTTTAGTAAAATTTTGCATTTTTAATAAAAATTCAAAATTTAATTTATCGAAATTTTAAGACTTTCAAATTTGAAAAAATTTAATTTTTAATAAAAATTTTGATTTCATATAAAAATTCGAAATTTTTGTGAAATATTTAATTATAACGAATATTTAGTAAAAATTCTAAATTTTTGTGCAATTCGAAGATATTAAAATTTTTCATTAAATTGGAAATTTTAGTTAAAATTCAAAATTTTCGAAAAAAAAAAAATTGAAATTTTTAGTAAAAATTCAAAATTTTTTAAAATAAACATAATACCAACCAGACTTCTCCTGCAGTAGTTTAAACAAACAAACAACCACCCCTCCCTATTTATTCAAATCATTTCAGATCCCCTAGACGAATCTAACTCTACTAACAACGATCATTTCGTACAATGGGCTAAAAAGAAAATTCAACTATTGGAAATTGAATTACTTGAAATGCGTAACTATAAACACAAATTGGAATTGTATGAAAAGGAGCAACTGTTAAAGGTAGCTTCTTCAAAATTCACCCGAGATATACGAGGAATTCAATGAGCAGCTGATAAACATACAAATATTCCCTTAATATTAATAAAATAGTATTTTTTTTCTATTTGAGTTTGAAAACAAAATTATTAAAAAAACAAAAATTGAATTGAAACTTGTTTTGTTTTTCATTAGATAAAAAATAAAAACATCTTATTTTATATTATTATTTTAAAGTTTATATTATTTTTATAATAAAATAATAGTAATTCTTTTTCAACCATCTTCATTATTAGATAGCAGCAATAAATGGTTGTTGTTACACCGTAAACTTCAAAGGATGACTTAAGCATCAGCTTCAGCTTGAAGTTTAGCAACATAGGCAGCCTTGTGTTCGGCAACCTTAGTTTTACGTTGCTCATTTGTGAGTTTCTTAGCATTCCACCTCTTCTTGGAGATACCGCTCTTAGCTACCTTCTTGTGGGTAGGATCGGCACGAATAGATTGGTGGGCTTTTTTGTAGATTTCTTCAAGCTAAAATTAAACAAGAAAAAAATAAACATTAGTACAATTTAAACAGATATATTTGTTTACAAAAGAAAAATAGTGCCACATATGTTATACAAAAACAAAGCACATTCCCCCCACTCTCAATGAGAAATCATTATATGACCATATAAATGTTTTGTTTATATGCATTCCCAATGTAAACAAAACATTCAATATCTTCCTTATGTGTTAATGTTCAACCGTAAACAGACAATGTAATCCATTGAAAAGAGATTAAATTACGAACATAGGTTGTAAATTTAATGTGGTCCACTTTTGGCACAGCCAGCGTCATGGGTACAAGACACAGCGGTAATTTTAGAAATGGACGTCTACATTAAACCATTAAAATTAATAATAAAAGTTATTGTACAACCTCAAACAGGCAACGTAAACCATTGAAAAGGCCTTAAGTTACGAACATAGTAGGTTCTGAATATAATGTGGTCCACTTTTGGCACAGCCAGTATCATGGGTTCAAGACACAGCGGTAATTTTAGAAATGGACGTCACTAACAAATGACTTAAAGTTTTCAGTTATATACTTACATCATCAGCACGGATTCCCAACTTGATGTAACGGCTGAATTGGCGTTTGAAGCTTTCTTCATCATCCTCCTCCAAAGTGCGCATGTAATCGGCTACATGTTGACCGAAGATATGGGCACGGTGAACATCAGCGTTGAAGCTCTTGGTTTCAGCGGAGTAACCGGGGAAACGCTTAACAGAGTGAGGGATGTTCAAACCACCATCGACCGCACCCTTCATGGCACCGAAAACACGGGCACCAGTGGTGGTACGAGCCAAACCAACATCCAAGTAACAACGGAAAGCACCGGGACCGTCATTGACGGGTTCAACGTTGTATTCTTCACCGGTGACTTCAGTGCAACCACTATACAAAGAGTCCAAGCCCAATTTGTTCAAGATACGGCGGGCAACCAACAAACCAGTACAGTAAGCGGCAGCGTAGTTGGTCAAACCAACCTAAAAATAAAAAAACATGAATATAAAACATAACCTCCAATAGTATGACAGAAAAAAAACAAACACATTTTTGTTTCCAAACCTACCTTAACACCGTATTTGGGCAATTCATGGGAGTAGGCAGCGCATACAATGCGATCACCTTCAATGCGGGAGAAGGCAATTTGTACGGTGATGTCCTTGTTGGACAAACGTACAATCAAACGGTATTTGGGTGTGTTGTACTTGTTCTTGTCTTGGAAGATCAAGCGTTTACGGGCATAGTAATCGGTTTTACCCTCACGACGCCTGCGGAACTTAACTTGATAACGCTTGAAGTACTGCTTGTTCTTGACTACTTTAACGAAACCCTAAAATTTTCAAAAAAAAGAAACAAATTTCCAATTAAAAACTTTATTCATTTCCTCACAATTTGCACACATTTTTCATTGTTTTTGTAACACTTCGAAAATATTTAGTTTTATTTTTGCACCTCACAAATCATCAAGTTTCTTTAACATCTTTTATGGAAACTTGTGTTAAATCGTTTATTTTTGTTTGGATATTGTTTAGGCATTTGATATTTTTGAAATTTTCTTTTTATTATTACCATTTTTCACAATTTCAGTTATAAAACACCGACGTTAAAAAAATACGCGATGTTCTTCACACGTAGGTGAAAAAAGAAAAGAAAGATGGAGTTGTTTGACTTTTGACAGTTGAAAGGAAATATTTCGAGACTCGAAAACAACTGCAGCCAACTTCACTATAAATAATAAACAAACAGTGATGATACTTGTATTATTAAAAATAAAAACAAGTTTATCATACAAAATAAAGAAAAATAATATTTTTTTTTTAATAATTATTTCAATTTCTAACAAATAATTATGCTAGTTTTATTATATACCCTTAAAAATGTTAATATCTACCTTTAGCGGGCTTTTAAAATTTTAAGAAAATGTTTGCAAAACAAACGTCAAAATAATGACAACTCTTTACGCCTTGTAGTTGTCAGATAATAAAAACAAAATAAAAAAATTATGACACGAATTAAAAATTTGTAGAAAAATTTTTAAAGAAAATTATTAAAAACGATCTCAATTTGTAGCAAAAGTTATGAAAATTATTAATTAAACAAAAAGCCTTAATAACAAATAAACATTATTTAAATAAACTTAATTGAACTTTAAGAAACTAAAAGATTTAAACAACAAATGGGTAATGAAGGCAGTAAACTTAAAGGTTTGGAAATCGATAAAAATGCTGTAGAGGCCAATGATTTCTGGGCTTTATTTAATTCCGTGGCTGCCACTACTACTAATGAGGAGGGTAAACAATATTTATCAGTATTCCAGGGAGAACCTGTCGTCACCGGCCAGCTATGGGTGGCTCAAGGTCCCATGGAAAGAGCCATTAGAGTAAGAGTTGCACTTTTTTTATTATGACATGTTCGAAGCTGCTAACGTTTAATTTGTTTTAGAATTTGATGATTTATAGACACCCCTATATCTTGAAATATGTCTGCACTTGGGAGCAGGGTGGGCAAAAGCATTTGGCTACCGAAAGAGTACGTCCTTTACAAAATGTTTTAAGTCAACAGTCCGATATACAAGTTTGTTTGGGTCTACGCACCATTTTATGCAGTTTAATATTTTTAATAGAAAAGGTAATTTTTAATTTTTTGGGCAAAAAGAAATGTTTTCTAGAAATCCGTAGGCGATTTTTGCTTATAAAAGTTAAATTTTCAATAAAAAGTGTTTTATAGAAATCTTCTATAGAATTCATTTTTCAACTTTCTCTCTTTTAATTATAATTTTGTTTCTTTTTAGGCCATGGCTCGTCATTTAAACATTTGTACACAATCAATTTACATCACCGATTCGGGTAGTTGGCGTTTGGCGGGTTTCGAATATGTTTGGAAGCAAAAGGAGGTAACAAAAACCTTGCTAGATTACGCTAATGCCTATCGTTATCAAGCTGCCGTCGATCCTGAAGAATCAAAGGAACTAAATATAGAAACTATCGAACAATATGCCTTTGCTAATTTATGTGAAGAGATTTTAACGAAATGTACAAACAATAGAAAGCAAACAATATCCTCCGCACCCATACCACATGTGCAAGAGTTTCGCGAGTATTGTGCTACACATTTGAAACATAAAAATGCCCAAATGCGTCCGAAACTATCGGCGGTACTACTGCATCCGTACTTTAATCATGAATTTGTTTTAATACACTCATTTCTGTTCGAATTGCCGTTGAAAAGTAATCAGGAGAAGCAGGAATTTTTTACCGCCCTTATAGATCGTTTACGTTATTTCGAAGAAGAGGTGGTGGGGTCACAGTTTGCTGGTGATCTGCTGTCGCGCATGGTCTTGCTAGATCCCACAGCTCAGTTGTGTGTTACTCCCTATGTGCTGAGAACTAAAACAGATCATTCGTCTGCCCTATTTTCTAGTCCCACTTATTGCAAGTATTTGATGCCTCATATTTTAAAAATGTTTCGCTTAAGAGATGCTCAAATACGTTTGATTTTGTTGGAGTATTTTATGGAGTTTGTAAGACTTTTGACAAAAGAAGAATTAGAGGAAAATATATTACCTTATTTGGTGACTGGCATGCAGGATACAAATGATGTTTTAGTGGCCAAGACTTTGAGATGTATGGCCGATTTAATACCTATTTTGGGGGCTACTACAGTTTTGGGAGGACAAAGAACTCGTTTATTTTCAGATGGCAGACCTCAAGCTGCTGTCTCAGACACCAATACCCATTGGGTGGAACCCCGTTCCATTACTCCAGTTTTAGGGGAAAGTAATGATTGTCCCATGGTATCGGGTAGTCCCATACCGGAAAATTTGCTTAGCAAAAGCAATAGTTATTCTTCATTGTCACAAGCCATAAATTCAGAAATATTTGAACATCATATGCCGCCACGTTTAAGTCCAGATGGTGGTGAGGATGTCAAATGTACGGCTATACAAGATTCAAACGATAATGATGAGGATGAGGATAAAAGTCCAGATGAAAATAAAATAATGGAAAATCAGGATTTTATTAAGAAAGAACTAGTACCAGAAGACAACAGTATAGTTATATCAGATACCGACAACAATGTGGCAGATGTTGAAGAGAACATGGATGATGATGATGATGCCTGGTCTGATTGGGACAACAATGATGATAATAATGTCGAAAACACCACAGTAAATAACGAATTTATGGCAAAAACCAACACTTTAACTGATGATTTAAGGGATAAACTTTCTTATCCCACCACCAACAACATTACCAATACCTTACCTTCACAAATATCCCTAACAGATTCTTATCGCACAGCACAATCGACCAATTCCTCCTCACATTCCTCCTTAAAGCCTTCGGCTTTAATAACCGTAAACGATGATTTATCTTGCCTGGATATACAAGTGCAAACCACAACGTCCGCATCTTTAACAAATCCTGAATCATCAGAATTTGATTTCTTTAAGGATATGGAGCCGGTCATAGAAACCAGCAGTAAACAACAAAAACTAAATGAAATAACTACAAATACCGTTAACTGGCTAGAACCCGAAAATATTGTAGTGAATTCGGCAAGATTTGCTGCCACAGCTGTAAATGACAATGAGCTAGATGTAAATGTCTTGGGTGACGATAATGGTTGGCAAGTAGACGACGATGATGTTGATATCTCCAAACTAGACGATTTGTTAAAAACTTCATCTATAACTTCCGCTTCTAATAATGTTTAGTAATTGTTTGTTTGTTCGTACGTTCTTTTTTTAAATAGTTAGAATTTCCATTATGTTATTAATAATAACGTTTATCATACAAATTATTAAGACTAAAAGTCTTTCATTTTTATTATGTACTATATTGTATTGTATTATTATGTGCATTTTAGTGTTAATGATACTTAATAATATTTACTTTATTGAGTTTAGAAACAAACATACATATAACAAAATTTATTATAATAAATAAAAATATTTTTTAATATTTCATTTATTATATACTTTTAAATAAATTCTATAATATAATGTATGTATTTAGAATTGATTGTGTCTTTATTTTGTTTTTGGGAGCAAACACTAATCAATGAGAAATATTTTAAAATACTGGTTAAAATCTTTATATTTAATAGGAGAGATGAACATTAAAATTTTGGGATAGGAGCTAATAATCTGACAAGAGTACTCCTGTTTTATATAGCTATTCATCTCTTTATTTATTCATATATCCGTATTAACCCGCTTCAGATTATATATAATATGGATCATTTACTTACCTAAAAAAGGATTGTACAATTTAGGATCTGAATCGTAAACTAGATTTTGTAAAGATTCCAAATTATTATATTTCTTCAAATGAAGTGAAGGTTACAAGATGTAATATGGCAAATTATTGCTCTTATTCTTTTCCACATAAAGCTTAAGCACATTTTAACACTTGAACAATGATGTTGCTTTTATCCAAAAAAAAAAAAACACTGCCGAAAAGGTAAGTCAAACTAATTTCATACTAGAGTTTTTTTTAATTCCAATATTTATTTTATCTTTGCAATGTAACTTCACAATAAATAATGCAATTTCAATCATATTAATTCAAAATTTATGCTTTTTACTTCCAAATTTATTTTACAAGTAATTCCTTGAAAAACTTGCGGTAAAAATTTTAATTATACTGATGTTTGATGTTTTTTTGTCACATCTCTAACAGAAATGGATTTGCCAAACTACACATCTCTAAAAAATATTGAACAACAAGTAAACGCAATGATGCTAATGCAGTGTTTTCCTTTTAACGATATCTTTTTAATGAATTGTTTATATGTATATATACATATATAACAAATCAATTGTTAAATAAATCCAAGCACAGACAAACAGAATACTTTCTACTTACCTTATAATTACATAATAATTTAAAGTATATATTTTATAATTTTTTAATGATATACTTTTTTAAAAACTTTATTTTTTATTCTTGTTGGGTGTATATTTTTTAAAAATTTTCATTAAATATTAATTCACTGGAATATAATATTTTAATTATTATTATGTATTATATTATTTATTTTCACGCTATAACTTTTCATGATTTCCATTATTATTTTTTTTATATATAATTATTTTACGATTTAGCAAAAAACGCTAAAAGCGTTTTAAATACACATTAATATTTTGTATTTATTAATTAATATGTAATATATTAAATTTATTATTAAATTTAAACTGTAAGTGAAGTTAAATTAAAAAATTTTGTGTATTTAGCAATATTTTAACGATTTTTAACTTAAAAATGAAGATATTTAATATTTTCTATTTTACCGAAAGAACTGAAGATACATACACTATTTTTATGTTTTGTTGGAAAATTGTATCTAATATTATAAGTTATAAATAACGAGTGTTTTTTTAGAAACTATGCGAAATATATTATGTGTGTTTTTATTTAAATTTAAGATAAATTTATAACGCCTGTAATTACATTTATGTTTATGAATATAGAGTGAGTGGTAGGAATGTTTTTTTTTTTTTATAAAATGAAAACAAAAGAAAAGTTGAAGCATCTTTTAGAAAACTTTTAATTTATTTATATGATGGGGTATGTGCTATTTGTTTATGAAATCTAATAAAAATATTATTTATTAGCCGTTTTGGGAACCAACAATTGGGACCTAGCTAACCTGTACAAAAATTGCTAGTATGGCAATATAACAAAAAGTTAGTATAGTTAGTAGTCCACTATTTGGTTATTTATTAATTATTTTTTTAATACGACCGACCGTTATTTTGTATTTACTTTCGAAGATCATCACAAAATAACTGTATTTAGCTACTATATTCATAGATTTTTCTTTTAAATGTTTGTTTTCGATCCTATTCTGGTATATATACATACATATATAATAAGTTCTATACACTAATCCACAAAAGTTGAGCAGGAATATAAATCTAGATGCAATGAATTCTTTACATATACATATATGTATGTATCTCTGTATATTCTTCTTCTATAGCTGGATTTGCTTGCATTGTGCAATATTATTTAAATCATCCCCTATTCGAAATCCCTAATTCGTACCGAAACTTTTTCCTTTTGACAACTTAAATAAGAACTAAAAAAAAAAGTAGTTACGATTGTAATGCTAATTCTTACGATTGGAATACACTTTGAGATGTTTTAAACATTTATATAGAAAATCTTCCCTAGAATAAATTGTTCTAAAATTGTGTATTTAGGAATTTTTTTTTATAATATTATCTCTAGAATAAATTTTCTACAAAAATATATAACAGATGAAATTCTTTCTATAAAAACAGAAATAAAATAAAACGAAAAACAAAGTTATAAAAAAACTATAAATAATTTATAAAAAGTTATAAATAATATTATCTGCAGAAACAACAATTCATTAGAAATTAACTTTTCTATCGAAAATTGTCTTTGGAATAAATTTTCAACGAAAAATATATCTGCAGAAAAAGCTTTCCCCTTAAAAAATGTCAACGGAATAAGTAAATTTAACAGAAACAACTTTTTAAATTTCATTTGTACCATAATTCAAGTCCAAACTTATCAAATAATACTTTGAAAAACTGACGGTAAAATTTTTTACCACACTGATGTGTTAAGTTTTTGTCACATCTCTAACAGAAATGCCGTCGCCAAAATACACATCTTTAAAAAATATTGAACAACCATTAACAAGTTCACACGCACAGTTGAATTACTTAATTCGGCCTCTGAATGACAATAGCCAATTAAACCGTTTCTACGACACATTCGTAATTCGTTTTGATAGTTCATCGCCATGTTGTTTTTTTTATTCATTATTTTGTCATTTTTTGAAATATTTGTGTGTGTGTGTGTATGATACAAAAATACGTTTGTTATATTATTTTAACAGATTAAGTAATATATTTTATATTTATCTGTATTTTTTTGTAATTATATTCTTAATTTGTCTACCACCAATAAAAACAAACAGCTGATTATGATAAATACCCGATATAAATTAGAGATGACACTCATACATTCGTAATCCGTAGGTAATTCGCAGCTGAAATTTTGTATGGCGAATAATGTAATAATTCAATATGTAATTGGGGGTTAAATGAAGATTGAGAATATAAAAGCTACCGATTTTAATTTTTTACCACTTTTGTGGCCTAGTGTATAATTTCGAAATCACCAGAAGACCCTTAATTTAAAATTGTTTATATTGTTTTTTGTTTATAAAATAAAACCCATTTTTGTTTAAATTTTTTTCGAATTTATCATATTTATAATATAATTTTTTTAATTTTAAGAAAATAAAAAATGAAAAATAAAATAATAAGAAAAATGAGTACAACTAACATTATATGAATTTGCAAAAAATTTCAGTAGTTTTTTTTTGTAATTTTTTTTTTTTTTTTTTTTTTTTATAAAAATTCAACTTTTCTCAAGTTTTTGCTTACTTCAGTAATAAGAGAGTTTAAAGAGAACAATGAAAAAAAAATCAAGAAGCAGTAATTTTGTTTACAAACTGCTTCGTTCCTATATGCAACAAAGTTGTGTGTGTATGTGTGTTTACAGAAACAAAATAAAAGAGCAAAAATAAAATAAAATTATGAACAAGGTTCGGCGGATTTCATTTTTAAAAATGTAGTTTTTTAATGTTTTCATATCTTTTTCATTTAAAGTCGCAAATATATATATATAAAGTTATAATAAAAATTAGGAAGAAACAAAAAAAAAGTAAAGGGGGGTATTGGTTGTGTGGAAGTAATAAACAAGAAAAAAAGCAAATTGTATGCAAATTGTATGTTTAAGCAATTTTCTTTTTTATACATGGGGAGTTTTGGGGTGGAGTCGCTTGGTTTTTTATGCAATTGTTGTAGTTGTTGTTGAAGATCGTTCCAGGACAATATCAACAGCGCGTATTGATTTGTTCAATTCAATTCTTTATCTTCTAAGTACTTGTATTCAAATGTGAATCCTTCCTTTTTTCGTTGACTCCATTTCTCATAATCAAAATAGATGTACGTACCCTGGGGAAAGGAAATTTAAGTAATAACAAAAAAAAATATATAGCTAAATTATTGTGAAAATGCCTACTTGTTCGTAATCATCGTTAATAATTTTTGGTTCTTCATGTCTTTGGAACCACATCATATACTTTGTGTGAAAACGCCAGCTTTGTTTTTTCAGAGCCTTTGCTGCCAAGTATTGAGCTTTTGAACCTTCCATATAGTAGAACACAAAGAATAGTGTTTCGGTTGAGAGACGTTGATAAAATTCAACTGTATCGTAAATTGGAAGTTGTTGCTATGGAAATGGAATTTATGCTATAAATAATAATGTAATTGTTGAGAAATTTTTGTTAATTACCTGAGGATAGTGCGCTGGCGTTTGCACTGGTGTTCGATGAAAATATGTTGTTAGTTTTTCCGAGTCACTAGGTGTTGGTAAATGATAATAAGCTGCTTCCATCATTTGGAATTGTAATTGATGATCCTTTTGCAGAGGCGAGGGACCCAATGGAGCCACTCCCAGCAGTGGTGGTATGTGGGCTTCATTTGTTGGCTGCTGCTGTTGTTGCGATAATTGTTGTTGTTGCTTATTTGCTGCAGATGATGCACCTGCTCCTATGGGCTGCTGACCGGCAGCATTTGTTAAAGCTGATGCATTTATATTACTACCAATGGGACCAACATTGCCACCATTATTACCAGCCGAATTGCCACCAAGTGTTGTAGGTCCATTTGTGGATGCTGTCACGGCGGCAACTAGACCTGCTGTGGTATTTGTTTGTTGCTGCTGCTGTTGTTGTTGATGTGTATTGGCAGTTGTATCTGATGAAAAATGCTGTTGGAGTACTTGTTGCTGTTGTTGTTGCTGCTGCTGCTGTTGTTGTCTGTTATCGAGGCTAGACGCTTGTTGTTGTTGTTGTTGTGAAAGAT